GAACTTCAACCAGGACGTGATTGAGCGATGCGAACGAGATCATCTTGAAAATTAAACGTAACGGTACTTTCTTTCCATCGGTCCGTCTTAGGGGAAACCTATAACTTAGGTGATACGAAGTTCGCCGGGTCAGCTAGTTGCTAAATAAATAAGTGTAAACAAAGAATAGCTTATTCCCTATATGGGAAATTCGCTAAAAGTAAAAACAATAACAGTTTGTTTTGAAACAGCTGTTTGGTTCAACTAACATTCATTTGAAAAAAAGAACTGGTCACATGTAGCAGGAATATAAAAAAGTAAACACGCTAGTAAAGCTAATGACGTAATTGTCAATGTTTATTATCCATACCGTTATCAGTTTTATCCTTGATAATTACCCACCCTCATTGAATAAGTGTACATCGTAATTTCCCATATATTCATATTTTAAATAAAAGTGATATTTTCACGTTTGGGGGCGCTGATATAGGCACCCCCAAACGTAACCACAACTGAACACGATTTCATGAAGGGATGGTTTTTCTAATTGCAGTATCCTAGATCAATGTTGACGTTGTGTTCAATCTATGTCATCCATCTGTTTATCTTTGTACAAAACCCGGCTGAGGTTGTGGTGGTAATTTAAAATCGTGATTCCTGATTATTCTTGATCTTCTTTTTATGACATCAATATATCCGGGCCTAATCCAAACAAAGTTAAAGCAGACAAACATTAATGAAAAAAAGCTACCATGAAGAATTAAAACATGTAAACATTGTTATTTTTCTATTCTTTCCTTGAAAAGTGGAGTAGTAAAATAATTTGCATTTATCCTTTTTATTAAGACTCGTGTACAGAGCCTCGATTTGCACTAACTCGATTTGTACTGTGGTTTAATTAATTTTGGTCTAAACTATTTTAAGCTGTGGTCTAATTATCTCTACTAATCTTACTTATTTCCTATAATCAATGACGAAATAAGAGTAAATAAAATAACCTCATAGTTCCATAGTTTATATTTAACCAGCTGTTAGTTAAAACAAATTATGTTGCTCTAAAACAAATCAAAGATTACAAAGATTGCTTTAAAAAAAATAATTTGAACATCCTAGTACTTTACTATGTATAATTTAATTAATATGTCATCCTGTTACAGAAGAATTGAACGTATCAATGATTAGCATTACACATAGTATAAATAAGTCAACCCTAAGTATGTCTTTACATTTTTATCCAAATGCTGAATTTGTGACACAAAAGCTGAATGTTTACAGCTGTTATGTTAAGCAAATTATTTTATGCCAAAAGCTAGTTTAGAATCTTAGCGTCGGCTGCTAGACTTTAAAAAAATTGAAACTTAATTTCTAAAAAACTGGGACCCTAAACTAAATTTATGGCTTCGACATTCCCTAGTTCTCAAAATTATCTTTCTTTCAACACAAAAATCATGAAAATCCGTCGAGTAGTTGATTCGGAATCGTGAAATAAAAAAACACTGTTTCGTTTTAATATTATAGATTTTCTACCAGAATACATCATTAAATACAGGGTGTTCCATAAGAAAAATCAAAGTTGGCGGCCATATTAGAAAAATGGCGGCTAAAATAATTTTTTCGACTTGACTAAAATTTTTTAAATAAAAAATCCAAGGCACTTACTATTTAACTTTTTTTGATATCTCTTATAGTTTTCGAATAAAACAGCTGGCACACTTATATCAATCACCCTGTATATTTTTTCTATAGAAGAAGATAACTAGACTCTCTAGAACACGTACATGGACGAGAGTCTTATATTATATCCCTCACATTACATCCAACATAGGATCACGTCAAAAAACAATCTTAAGGGTTTAGCTGTTCAGGCACTTCTCTCCTTACCAATTGAGAAGGGAGAACTATAACAATTCCACATCCTCTACTTCAGTGTGATCCAACCATGATCTTTTCGCGCACCTTTGAAAAGGTTCTTTAAATCGGCAGTGGTTTTTTCTACAATAAAACCGGGGATACCCTTCCTAGGTAGAGGGTGCATCCGGTACATCAGCTGATCAGCTGATCCGGAAGTCTGGAGCACCAGACGATCAGTCGAATCCGAGACTGTTGAATATTTACTCCGGGATCAAGAAGTGGTGAGAACTGGCCGGGGTTTCGCAACCGTCGTTTACAAGAGACAAAAGCTCAAGGAACAAAAGCTCGTGGGAAAGATTGAGGGCTGTAGGGTTGCGGTGGGTAGGGGAGCGAGTCTGACTGGAGGGACCTTGGGGTAAACTTCCGTATGAATCTGGTTCATCAATGAGGTCAGCAAGGTCCTTGGGATTCCTGGATATCCTGGGATAAGGTTGACAGAAGTCAGAAATCTTTTGATGGTTCGAAACTGGACCCAGCCTTTGGCTAAAAATGCTAGTTCAGCGCAGAGGAGATATTATGCAATAGGTCTTGCCATTATGTATCATGTAGTCAAAGCTACACAAGGCATCTCACTTCATTCTGTACACATTCTATTTATTTACTCACTTCGGCTTAAACACGTTCAGTTGCGTTCCATCTTAATTGGTAATGCCAAAGCATGGATAAATTGTGTTACTGATTTATGGAAATATGTTATCGAAACGATTTTTTGCGTGGTCTCTTGAGTTCACTAGATACTTACCTTTTAAATTTTAAAAGTATAGTGGAACAAAATTTGTGAAAAAAATAATGGATTTGATGATAGCTTGTTGTTTACACAACTGTTTTGGTTGTTGAGTTTACTTGTTTCCTTGCCACATTTGCTTGTGGGTTTACTAAAAATCTGCACTCTTTCGCAGACACCACTGGAACTGGACTAGAAACTACTAACTAGACGGTGGCGCGCCTCCCGCCAACCCCCTCAACCACCACAACCCCCACAGACAACCCAACCACCACTCGGGGGTTTATAGCTTAAAATATATTACACATTTGTTTGACCATTTTTTAGACTTAATTATGGCATGTAGTCTATTATGGTAAGTTGCCTATCGTCAGAATGTTTATCTGGTGCTCAGACGTCGAGGCAGTAACATAGGCATGTGTCAGTTAACTAAATATATTGTTTACGCGAGAAGACTTAATCACTGGTGGCTGATGGAAATTGTTGATTTCAACCACTTATGTAGCTAAAAATAAATACATGATCCTAGATCGAAAATTATTTTACACGAAATAACGTACAATTCGCAGGATAATGATAAGAGTAATTACTTCAAAATGGTCTGTTCAAGATAAATTTCCCTGTATAAAGACTTCCTCTGTCAATAATGGTTGAATGGAGAAAACAGGATTTGGTATACATTAATATGGTTATGTTATTCTTCATTGACTGTATACACATGAAATGAACTCTATGGCTAAATTTAAGATTGTAAAGGATGGTACGAATGGTACGATGGCAATTTATGTTGTGTAGAATTCCTAGTCCAAAAAAACATTGGGATTTTGTCAAAGTCATATAGAATACAACTAATTGCAAAATCAGCTGTTACATTTTCGTCATGTCTACACAGTATTCGTGTAGTTCTGGTAATACAAGGGAACGTTACGGTTTGTCTGACATCCCCTCCCCCTGATACAGACAGTAGTTGACAACAAATAGCGTGTACAGACAGACAGACATTTGATTACATGACACACACCATTAACTACGCACCTGCTAGGAACACCATAGCGGCCGGCACCTGCCTGTACCAGTACCGGTGTACCACCGTTGGTACCACTATGTGATCGTTGGTACCACCATCCACTATGTGATCGTTGGTACCACCGTGGGAGACGCTGGGGAAAAAGAGTAGATTGGCTGTCAAAGTATCTAATAATGCAAAATTATATGTGTAACATATGTACAACTAGCAAAAGTTAGATCCTAGTTTTGAAACTGGTGAAATGTGTTACCGCAGTTTAAAATGGTTCTACCATTGACTATACACAGAATAGACTTCCCATGTAATGTACAAATTTTGAAGCCAAGAAAATAAATTACGTTCAGAACCATCTTACCAGAGGATACTAGTGTGTTGGGTTAAATATGTTTCTTTAAAACCTTTTTCCTCAGCTCGTGTGCATCACAGCAAATATCTACGCATACTGTTAGAAAGATATTTCCCCGTAGATGTGCAGACCAACGATATACCAGACTCCGTTTATAAATTAAATTATGTTAAAAAAAAGTAGCACAACAAATGGATATAGAATTAAAAAAAAATAACATGTGCCTTGACGAAATCAAATAACAACGAAATATAAACAGAAAATCAAAACTAATGGAAGAATTTCCAATCACATGTGTTATTAGGGTGGGGTGAAGTCTGTACATTACATATTTTTGGTCGAGTTTTCGGCCACTTGACCACTTCTAGTTAATTTAAATCAATGTAGTATCATAGCAAACAGCTGATTGATTCATCACATGACACAGAATATTGTCATTAGTTGGTGACCACCTCAAAAGATTGCACCACGTGTTTTTGGCTTCAAATTTTTACATTACAGTACTTGGGAAGACTATTCTGTGTATAGTTAATGGTAGAACTATTTTTTGTGTGTTGCTGTAGTATTGGAAATGGTATAACTTGTGTTACAACTGCTTTGTAACTGATATAAATCATATGTAGTACTGTATTGTATTCGCACTGAATTGGTAGGTACTGTATTCTGATGCTGCAGCATTGGGACAAGTGGTCATCGTTTTACCATAGTACTGTATTTACTTGAACTAGTAAAGATTGTGTTACTTAAGAATTGAAACTGGTAGGCCTAGATATTATGTATGCAGTACTGAAACTAGTGATCTGCACTGGTAAATCTGAACGAAATTTCTTTACCAAAAAGAACAACCTCTTCTCAACCACTTATGTAATTTTTACCATATGATTTAATCGAAATCGAGTAGCCTCAACCACCCACAGCGATGTCATATTGTACAGAGCGGGTTTCAAATCCAGTCCTGCTATTAATATTCGACAAGTAATACAGCCTTGAGGACCGTCGAAAGTCGCATTACAATGGCGTAATGTACAACTTGGCCAACTTTACCACAGAAACAGAGGCTCTACCGCGCTGTATGGATTTCGAATGTAAAATGTGAGCATTGTGAGAGCTTAACAAATGTGTTGATATCGTTAGCATATACAGTCAAGCATATAACAGCCAAAGTGTTATGATTTACTCTTTGGCCTTGAAAATGATCTCAATTGTCTTGACACAAAGTTGTAAATATTTGGCTTCTGCAGAAGTGTATGATTGTCATGAAAAAGTGGACAGACATTAGACATTATACATTGCACAAAGCACTTCTTTCACGTTAAATTTCTTGAAAGAAAGGAAGGCTACCTCAAAATATCAGCAGTTCTTTACCTCTCGCTCTCATCACTGTACAGATTTCAAAAATAATTATTTTATTAATAAATTATTTTTAGTGAGGAACTTACAGCGAACATAATGATAATGTCCAGAAGAAGGTTATTTGATTCGAGTGTGCCATTCTTGAAATGGGGTTTAATGTTTCATTTTTTTTAGTTTGATACATAGGTTTGCAACTAGGTTTCAAATATTGTATGGTCAACGCCAACTCTGCTAAGTATTGCTACGAAATACATTATATTATTATAATATAATAATACTGCCAAGTACAATGTTATTTATACGAAATGAAAATAACCTTTTCGTTTGCCTGTTTAGAAAGATGAATGAATTACTCATAATAGTTCGTGTAAATGTTGTAGGCCTAAGTAACGTATGCTGTGTGTTTACTGTTATAGTGTTAGGCCTAAAGTGTTATGACAATCCCGCTTTGTATACAAATTCCAAGGCCAATGCACGATATCAACGCTATCAGAAGGAAGCGGCACGTCGCCGGGCAACTATTTACAAGTGAATTAAAACTTGCCCTGGACACTTTTACTAGCTGCTACTCGTGGTGTTTACAGTTTTCAACAATGTGTACAAATTACAGATCAGCTGTCTGCCGGCCGGTGTAGCCCACCACGTGGTGGATTCTTTGTCTGCGCTGTTTGAAGTAATTTTAGAACTCCCCCCACCCCTGTGGTGTCGACCAATGGGGGCGCTTGGCGGGCACCTCCCCTCCCGGCCGGTACACGCGGTGCTGCCGACGCTCAGTCGCTCGAGCCGGCACCCCCAGTACAGACGTATAGCTCTCGTCGTCTTATTTTTGTAGTGTTAAGTTTTTACGGACATCAGCTCGGACAGTGCTTCAGTGAGATGCCGGGGAGTATGTTTTGCGAGATGGACCGTGGTTCGGGAGGTTTCGAAGAGCAGCGGGCTCTACAGTTGGCGTTCGAACTTTCCATGTTGAGTACTGGAGGATTCAGTGATTCTTCGTCGCCTCCTGCTACATCGGTTGAACAAGACGCCCCTGTACTTCCTACACCCTTCATCGTGCCCGAGGAGTCGCGCAACAAGAAGTCGCAGAACATGACCGAGTGTGTGCCCGTGCCTAGCTCCGAGCACGTTGCCGAGATCGTGGGAAGACAAGGTAAATACAACACATAGCCTAAAGTTATAGATCTGTAGGGGAACTGTTTTGATAAGTTTTGCTCTCTGAAAATACACCAACTTACAGAAATCAACAACTCGTTTATATTACTGTAAAGTAGACTTGCACCACTCAAAATGTAAAAATCAACATTGTGTCACTCTACTCTAACCCTTAACTTATCAACTACTTGCTAGTCATATGTTAAACAAGGCAAGGAACTAACGTAAGGTCGTACAAGTATTGGGATGTTCAGCAGTTTGAGTATTATTCAGTGTAGAGTAGAGATTGTGTTTTGTAGATGCGCGGGAGGGTAGAAGTCAAGGGCGGGGTTGTCTTGTAGATCGATGATTTCATATCAACTCTCAAACCTCGGCTCCACCTAACACTAATTATTGTACAAATCGGTTCTTCGTTCTTCCCTACTTTTATTGCATTTTTTGAGAGATAAGATAAACGTGTTTGAATTCTTTTGAAACGTGTGTCTTAGTTCTTTAGATGTAACTTAGAACTCTTTCAAGGTTAAACTACTGATAACATTTTGGTTACTTGATTCCTTTTGGTCTGGTTAAGTTATAATGTTTGGAGTATTAACAGTAACAAGTAGACCTATTGACTGTCGTTAAACCCGTATGCAGTGATTATAGGCTATAGTTCATTAATGTCACCTTTGATAAAGATAATAGTCAATGATATCACACTTGGTAGGCCTAGGTACTTGATATAGACTACCTGACACCAAAAACACTATTAAAACATACACATTTGACTGTATGACCACCTTTGTCATAATTACAGTATGTAGTTAGGTGTTCAGTATTTGTTTTAAAATCGTAGTTCGTTTAGGTTATGAACACTTCTAGTACGTTTATCTCTAAATAATTTATGGCGTAACATTTTAGCCTAGACCACACACAAACATTTAAACGTTAACATTTAACACGGTGAGAACATCATTATCGATCACAGATAACGTTGGAGTTCAGGACTGGTGTCCAAATTGTAGGTTAGGTTTCGAGTGTTCTTTGTCAGTATCCCGCCAAGCCGGGACCTTGAATGGGCTGCCCGAGCCTACTACATGCTTTATGACTCATTCCACCAATTTAATGAATTCCTCTCCGGTCTAGTCTGCTTCATCCTGTTTTACTTCTGTCTCGTCCTATTGTACTCGGTTATTACACTGTTATCACCACCAAACACGTAGTAAGGCCAACATTTAGGTTAGACGTTTGCATCGTGTGATAAGTTCTAGGTCCTTACTTGTTATACAGTGTTTTATTTAACGTAAATTGGTGGTTGGTAAGGTCTGTGAAGACAATTTTGAATGTTTCAAATATATAGCCTAATGTAGATGTAATTTTTTATTGGTTGATACATTCACCTAGGTATCTTGTATTATTCGCGTGTTCATCTATTAACGTAAGAAAAATGTCAACTCCCTGCAAAGTGTAGGCTAGGATAAGATCTTATTAATAGTTATAAGTATTTCGGCGAGGTTTTAGTAAATTAGTTTTAAATGCATAATGTTTAAAATGTATCACAGTAAGACAAATCGTTTGATATTTGAAAGATGTTAACACATCTTTACTAACCAAAAATAACATTACAACCTACAACCCCTTGTAGAGAACCCTTATCAGTATGCAAGTAGGGCTTTCAGGATATTCATTATAACCAACCATGTCCTTACTAAGATCATTATTAGTTTTGTACTTGTATACCTAAGTCAAAATAAGTTTCTCTAAAACTAGTTGGCTGATTAAATGTAACCGTATATTCAGCGAAGGGGGGAAAGTTGTTAAACATATCTTTACAACATTAACTAAAAATAACATTTACAACTCCTTGTAGAACCCTTATCAGTATGCAAGTAGGCCTGTCAGGATAGGTATTAATTATAACCAACCATGTCCTTACTAAGATCATTATTAGTTTTGTATTTGTATACAGTAGGACCTTGATAACAAGACTCTCATGGGGATTGTAAAATACTTGATATCAAGGTTGACTTCTTATCGAGGTTTAATATGTGATTAAGGGTAAAACAATTTTGAGGGGATTTGAAAATGACACTTGTTATCAAGGGTGACTTGTTATCGAGGGTCTTCTTATCAAGGTTCCACTGTATGTTAAAATAAGTTTTACTAAGCCTAGATGACTGATTTGATGTTATAGGCCTATTTAGCGTTTAGCGTAGGGGGAGGGGTTAAGTAAAGTAAACATTAGTGATGTAAATTTTGAGGATATAACAATTAGGAATGTCATGTTACATTTAAACGTAATTCCCCAGGGTTTCATCTACATTTTGCAACACCACCCTTCACAGCCTAACCCAAGGTCCATCCCCGTGTCCATCACGTTATCTCCACTATCTCAACCGCCACTGGTCAGACCCAGGTGTGACGTCAGGTGGTACCTAGCGCCACATGTCCCTCGCCAGATGATGGGGCCGTTTTTTGCCGGGTTGCGGGTTTCCGGGCGCACCAGCTGCCGTCCCGGCTTTGTCCCGTATCCGCTCTTTGTCCCAGACTGGTTTTGGGTTTTGGTTTCGCTGCTGACAATCGATATCCTGGTACGGAAGAGATCGGGTCCTTTCAACGAGCAAATAGGCCGAGGATTTGATACAAGTGTCGTAGAGACATCTTTGCCTCACCTGTTTAGGATTGGGAGGGGTGACAAGTAAACTGTCTGTGTCAAATTAGGTACTTAAGCCTAGGTATTATACCGGCCACACTTATTTCCAAAACAAAATATTCCTAACCTAAACTAACATTTACTCTAACCAACCGTTTTATCAACTCAAGTTAAGTGTGTTCGGTATAATTCCAAAGTATCTACAATTAACTGTACATTGTGTAGGTTGTAGGTAATCATTTTAACGTAATGATTTTCTTGGATCACTTGTTTAGGATTGGGAGGGGTGACAAGTAAACTGTCTATGTCAAATTAGGTACTTAGGCCTAGGTATTATACCGGCCATGGCTCGACTTCCAAAACAAAATACTATTCCTAACATAACCTAAACTAACATTTACTCTAACCAACCGTTTTATCAACTCAAGTTAAGTGTGGTTGGTATAATTCCAAAGTATCTACAATTAACTGTATATTGTGTAGGTTGTATGTAATCATTTTAACGTAATTATTTTCTTTGATCATGAATCATTGTCTTTAACGGAAATTACTACCGGTATTTACATGTTTTGCAGCCTACAGCTAATGGTGACATTTACACATACGCCCAATTGTATCATGTCTTGAATTCGAATACAGTGCATAGGCATAGGGTACACAAATGTTTATGTTATTCACATAGTACATAGATAGATTAGAACAATCATGAGAGGGCGGAGGCCGCCTCTAGTGCATAGGCATAGGGAACACAAATGTTTATGTTATTCACATAGAACATAGATAGATTAGAACAATCATGAGAGGGTGGAGGCCTCCTCTTTCACTACCTTGGACAAAATTTTAGTAGAGATAGCCTTACAAAAGATTCACTGAATTACTAAATCAACCTCAGAGTGAAGACTGGTCTAGAATTCCATCCTATATTCCTGCTACTTGGCGTGCAGCTGTGTTCGTACAAAAACCCGTGACGTGGGATATTTATTGATAACATCTGCCACTTAGTTCGTGTTGCGTAGGGCGAGTTCTGTGGAAGACTCAAGTTCGAAATTCACTAACTAACAAATGTATTGGTTTATTTTTTTCGTTTGACGTGCCATTTCAAATTTTTAAAATTTGAACGAAGATGCTTTCCATAGACTTTTGAAAGGCTACATGCTGTAATGTTATTTATCTGAGTGCTTTATTAGTTGACCAACTTAACCACTTAACACCTTAATTCCCGAAACATTGTTTTCTCCTGGAATAAAAAGAGGGGTTTCCCTTAAGACATAAAAAAATCATGTTAAGTGTCGTGATAATAAATATGGGTGTGATCTAATTAACCGACGATTTTGTCCATAATGGAAAGTCTATTGACAACTAATGACAATTAATTGTTGGAGTGATTTCAATATTGTATCCGTTTTAGAACTAAGTAAAAATTAGCCTCGCCAGTTTAGACCTGCGCAGGAAGCTCGATGACAACGATCCTAGCGGCGAGCTCGGAAACTCTTATCTTATCTGGTTCCAGGTGCATTCCAGACAGAATGCAAATATAACCTAAGCTCCTCCAAGTAACAAAGAACCCTCTGATCGAGCGTTAATACTCGTAGAAAATTGTAATGTTAATCTCAGTCTGAATTGAATTGGTTTTACTAGTGTCGTCAGAATCGAATGTCATTTCATGTATTTATACTGTCAAACTATGGAACATGCTGTATTTTTTACTATCGTTGTATACTTGTATCTCTTGGTTATTGTAGGCCTGTTACGTGTTACTTATCAATTCATCAACCATGCGTATGTGCATTAAATTAGATTTTAATTTCTTCAAGTGTTAAGTCAAAAGTTAAATATTTCTTGTAACTTAATCATGAACCTAGTCTACTATTTACATTCACGAGTTCCAGGTTCACAAATTGCTCTTATCACTAATGCATCTACAGTGTTACCACATGTACAGCCTAAAATCGTAACTCGAAATTGTATAGCTTAAAAATCATACGGAATTTGCAATTAGGCTACTAATTTCCAGCACATTATTTTTATATAGTCAATACTGCCTCCACTCTACAACTAAATAAAGTACGAATTATCTTCTTTTCTAGCTTAAATATAAATGATGACATTTTGTGTCAAACAATTCGTGATTCATAAGGGTAAACATTCACACACTAACAACCAACCGTCATCCCCATCCTCTGCTTAGGGCCCTTTCACACGAGGCCACTGGTGGCGGACACCGGTGTCCGCCACCAGTTACCGGCCGGGAAACTGCAGTGGATGGTACAGGCAACTTACAAGCCACTCTACTACAGCCACTGTACTGGTAGAAATGCTATACATGCTGTCGAACAATGAACATCTCCTTCTTCTCGCGTTGATAA